ATAATCTATACTTAATGTGGTGAATGGGTTTTAAGATCAGGCCGCACAGAGCTCTAACTTTGAGTTCGAGCGAGGACGTATGTCACGAGGGATAATCAAGGGTCAGCTGCGACGCGGAGGGGGATCCATGGGCAGGCGGGGCAAAGGGCGCGGGCGCGCCGCCGAGCACGCCGGCAACGCCCGCCGGCTGCGGCACCTGCCGGACAGTAGGGGGGGGGAGCGTGGCGTGGGGCAGAGGGGAGCGAGGAGGGGCGAGGCGACACAGGACGAGCGCGCGCGTGCGCGCACGTGGGCGGGCGGCGGGCGGCGGGCACGCACCTGGAAGGGCACGAGAGGCACGAGAGGCCCCAGAGTCGAGTGCTGCACCGAGTTGACGTTGGCGCCGTGCTCGAGCAGGAGAGCCGCCGGCGGCGCGAAGTGCAGTCGGTCAGCCGGCGCCGGTCCATCGCATGCCGCTGGCGCCGGGCCGTGCGATCAGTCGAGTGAAGGGTTGGCTAGCCTTGCCGTTCAAGATGAAGCCCGCCATGTCGGCATCGGCTGCTGCACGTTGAAGGAACTGGGCGGCCGAGCCGACGACGGGCACGATCCGCTTGCTCTCCTTGTGCTGCAGCCACGGTAGCTCGCGCAGCATCCGCCAGCCGTCCTTGCAAAGGTAGCCAACGACGCCTCGCGAACCCTCGCCGACCAGCTCGAGCATGTTGTTGTAGGTCGGTTTGGTGTTCTTGCCGAACATCTGCGACAGCGCGGACCTGCCCGCGACCACGTGGACGACGCCCGCCGAGTCCACGAGCGTCCATGATGGCTCCAGCGCCATGATCGACGCGGATCTTCGAGGTGTTCAAGCGGGCGCCGGTAGATCTTCGAGGTGTTCACGCGGATCTTCGAGGTGTTCAAGCGGCGGTGGAAATGACTTTCCTCATCAGCGAACCTCCGCCCAGCAAAAACTCAGGACCCGCTGACGGTGACAATCGTTGCGCCCCGCTCAGCAAAAAATCAGCATTATATCAGGAGGTGCCAAAGCCGCAGCATCTCCATGAGGTGAGCGTCGTGCGTTTTGCCGCCGCGTGCCGCCGCTGCGCCGACTGGCTCCCGGTTCGAGTCGTCCTTCGCGGAGCGAACGCGGCGATACGAGCGCACGTCGCGCGCGTGTGCGCCTGCGACAAGACGAGACGAGACGAGAAGGAGAAGTAGACGGCTGATGTTTTTGCTGCCGCGGCCGCGCCGCGAGCTCGCGTCTGTTTTGGCGCCGACGACGCGACGCGCCCCGCTGCGTGAGATGGCGCCGCCGCGGAGTCGGCGCCGCGATCAACCGCGCGCCAGCGGCGAGCGGCGCAGCGCGGCCACCATGCGGCGCGACGTGCCCGCCGACCTTTTTTTGTCTTTTGTGAGCTAGACTTCGTTGTTAATAGGAACAAGCGAAGGCACACACGACATGACGCCAAACACACTTGTTGTTTTTTTCAGATAGCTTGTCTTGTGGAAACACAGCTAAATAGCGGCTTCCAAAATCCTGCTCGTGCAGGTGGGGACCCTGTCCTCCTCCCCCATCCCTCGTCTGGGTTTTTCTTTCTTTTAAATAGCGGCTCTTTAAAATCCCTGTGTGGTGGCGGCGTGCCGTCCTCCCATCCCTCCCTTGGGTTGTCCGTTTTCTTTCTTTCGTTCTAAATAGCGGCTGGGGCGTGCGTGCGTGTACTTTCTTGGCCTGTATATACTTTTCCGGCAAACAAAAAGGAAAACAGAGGGGCCCCAGCACTTTGCGTTTCCGGAAATTTCCAGGGAAAACAGAGGGTGTTTGGTGCTCCATTCTGGAAACTCGCGAGTTTCCCTGAGTCTGAGAGCTGGTCTGGGGCAAAATCTGAGGCAAAATCGAGGAAACCGGCAACATCCCGGGCTTTTTCCAGGTATACCCGGGTGTTTGGTTCCAGGTATACCCGCAAAATACCCGGTATTTTGCCGATTTGGCTGATTTTGGGCCCAAACCAGCCTCAGACTCGGCTCACAGCCCGGAAAATTTGATGGTTTCCCCGGGAAAATAGAGAGGAAAAGAGAGGGTGCTGTAGAGAAAAAAGGAAAGGAAAAGTCAAAAGAGACGGGGTGCGAGAGGAAAAGTATATACAGCCTAAGTACTTTCCACAGCTGGTCCACACTCCTTAGTGCTCCAACTCCTCCCCCCACCTCCGTACCACCTCACTCTGACTTCGCCTTCGCGTGCTCCCCTACGAGAATGACGCGATCTATCAACTTTGGCAGCGCGGCTGCGCCGGCCGCGAGCAGCGAATGCCTCATGGCCGCCTCCCAGCGTGCGGCCGGATCGGAGCCGAGAACGCCGCACACGAGCTCAACCAGGAGGAACAGCGCCACAACCAGCACCGGGAGCACGCGCGCCCGCTCCGAGGCCTCTCGGCTCAGGTTCTTGACTAGCTTGTCCTTCTCAGCCTCGAGCACTGCGATGTTTTGAGCCAGCTCGCGGTTCTTTAGCTGCAGCTCCGCACTGGTCACGGCCGCACCTCCGCTGCCACCGCCGCCACCCCACTTGGGGGACCTGAGGGGCGACTTCTTGTCGCCTGGCGATTTGCCCTTTTGCAGCTGTAGAAGCAGGCCTCGGGTGATGTCGCCTACGAGACATGCGAGCGGACGTGTCATGGACGCGTCCCTGACATGACGGCGAGAAGGCCATCTCGTGCTCGCCAAAGCGATACCCCGAACCTCCGTCGTCACGGCCTGCAAACTCGCTCCAGGTCATTTGCTTCCGCTGCACGTGCGAGAGCCCCCGATCGACGGCCGCCTCAATCTGCATTGCGGTGGGCTGCCGCGTGAGCGCGCCGCGTGATTCGCCCGCCGTGTTGCCCTCGCCGGCGAGCACGTCGGGGAGATCTGCGATGGCGCCGTGGCGGATGGTGGGGACTGGGGTATCATCGTCAAAGAAAATCCTCTGGAAGGCCGTCCAGCATCCACCCTCGCCACCGCTCTCCATGGTCAGCCGATTGTCCTCGGCCTGCGTGGCCGCCGAGTGGAAGGAGATGGAGAGCGTCTTGGTATCTGCCTCGAGCTGTATCGTCAGCACGTCGTCCTCTGCCACGCCGATGTCAGGCACGAGCGCGTCCAGCACCCGATCTGCGTCGGCCTTGTGCTCTGCGTCGCACCGGGATTTGAAGGCATCCTCGAACCCCTTGACGAGCTTGTTTTTGGGGAGGGCGCGGCAAAAGACGAGCCGGAACGTCTTCTTGAAGGAGCCGCCCACAAATTGGGCGAAAAACTCGGGCCCGACGGCGAGCAGCTCGTCGTGGCTCTGCCCCGCGAACCTTGGCAGGAGGGCCGCACGGCATCCTGCGCTCTCGACATAGCCAAGTGACCATATGTGACCATATTATAAATTAAATTATAGTTGTATGTATGTATACAGGGGGGGAGGAGGGTATGAGAACCGCCGAGATCAAAGTTCCAGGGGTTGTCACCTTGTCACCTTGTCACCTCGAGGTGATTTCTTTTTTCACACCGAGCACTCGGCTCGCGCGCTCGGGCACCCACGCGGCTAGGCTGGCCCACTGCGAGCCACCCCGGCTCGCTACGTGCAAACATGCGAGCGTGTGCACGTGGCAGGATCAGGCGTTTGCCCAGCCAATGGCTAGGCCATACACCCTGTCCGCGTCCTCCCAACCCTCGCGCCGGCCGTGCGTCTCCTCAAATTGGCCAGGCGTGCAGACGGAGTACACCTGCAGCACCAGCTCGCCCTCGCCACCCAGGCGCAGCAACACGACAAACTCCTTGACGCCATCCTTGTCTACGCGCGTCCAGCACAGCCGGTCGCCACCGACGTTGTCGCCGACGCAGATGGATTCGCGCGCCCCGCCGGCCTGTGGAAGCCAGTCGCCGACCCACTCGTCGGTGCCGGCATGCAGGCGGCTGCCGAGGTCGTCGTACTCCGTGAACCTGCGCAGCAGTGCATCCCGAAGGCGCACCGCGAGCTTATGCTCGCGTGCGTCCTTCGCGAGACCCATGAACGGGACTGGACGGAGCAACCGCGCCGGCGCCTCCGCCTCCGCCTCGCTCATGGTCCAACTAACTTGAACAACTTGTGCGGCGGCTCACCAGGGGGTAGTCAACCCTAGGCTCACCCTCCATATGGAGGTGTGAATGTGAAAAAAAGAAATCAGTTTGCACCCATTCATAGGTCATCCACCTGGCTATCGGGTGAGCCGCAAACTGACTTTTTTCCAGACTTCACCCAGACTTCACCCAGACCGTACACAGGGATTTTAAGGAGAGGTGTGTGATGTGCTAGCCGTCGCCCACCCTAGGGAGTCTGCCTCTTCCTATCTCTCTTCGCAGTCTCAGGGCGGCCGGGGTAATAAATAAATAAAACGGGCACGCCAAACGAGGGGTGGGAGAAGGACAGGGTCCCCACCTGCTGACCTGCACGAGCAGGATCTTGTAAGGACGATCAGGGACACAGGGGAACGGGAGCGGGGAGCGCATCGCGACACGGAGGGGGGCTGGGCAGGGTTCACCCACACGACAGGGTCCCAGGGATTCCTCTCTCGTATAGGGCGGCCGGGGTGACAGTGCCGCGATGGAAATCCTGTTTTTCTGATCGCCCCAACAAGGCCCGCCCGCTCCAGCTTGGCCGGTTGCGCTCCGAGCAGCAGACAGCGGACGGGGGTATTCCCAGTAGACCGGCCGTCAGCGACGTTGTTCGCAAAACAATGCTGCGCCTCGACTCTCAACAGTGTTCCGAATGTGAGCCGCCGCCACCGCGCGCGCCCGTGTTGCCGCCCATGTGCTTGCCTGACGCTTGCTGCGGCCCCGCAGTGCTATACGTCGGCTTCAACCAGGACAATGGCTGCTTCGCGTGCGGGACGGACTCGGGCTTCCGCATCTTCAACTGCGACCCCTTCCGACAGACCTACCGCAGAGGTGCGCGCCTCACAGTTATCCGCCTCACGCGTTCCTCCTCGGATCCACACACACCGGAGCCGCACGCGCGACGTGAGCTGGCCGGTCGTGCCGCAGACTTTACCAACGGCGGGATTGGGATCGTCGAGATGCTCTTCCGCTGCAACATCCTCGCCCTCGTCGGCGGCGGCCGCAACCCGCGCTACCCGCCCAACAAGGTCATGATCTGGGACGACCACCAAAACCGCTGCATCGGCGAGCCGTGCCTGGTGTGGGGGGTCAAGGAGGCGGAGGCGGACTCGATCCCGAGCCCTGGCTTCTCTAGGCGAGCTCTCCTTCCGGTCGGAGGTCAAGGCGGTCCGCATGAGCCGCGAGCGAGTCGTGGTTGTCCTCGAGTACCGGATCTACGTGTACAACTTTGCAGGAGGGCGACCATATCTCGGCTGCACCTCGGCTATACCTCACCTCGGCTATACCTCCGTGCACATCTTTGCAGACCTGAACCTGCTGCACACGATTGAGACAATCTCGAACCCGCGCGGGCTCTGCTCGCTCTGCGCGGACTCGCGCGCGTGCGTCATCGCCTGCTGCGGGCTGCAAAAGGGTCACGTGCGCGCCGAGCTCTTCGACATCACTCGCACGACCCTCATCTCCGCGCACGAGGCGTCGCTCTCCTGCATCGCCCTCAGCTCGTATGCAATGCGACATCACACACTCTGGTGTAACATCATAGGCCTCGCTCTCCTGCATCGCCCTCAACCCGGACGGGACGCGGCTCGCCACGGCGTCGGAGCGAGGCACGCTGGCGCGGGGGGTGCGGGCACGCGTCCCCTTCCGGTCTCGGACACGTCCGCGACACGTCCCGCATAGGCACGCTGGTGCGGGTCTGGGACACCCGCTCGGGGCAGCGGCTGATGGAGCTGCGACGTGGCGCCGAGCCCGCCGCCATCCAAGTACACCGGCGTGGTCCCTCCGGAGCTGTGAACGGCGTCTCTTCACACCTGCAGCTGTGAACAGTGCATGAACTTCCACGCCGACTCGAGCTGGCTGCTCGTCGGCTCGGACCACGGCACCATACACGTCTTCAAGCTGCAGGAGGGCGGCCGTCTCTCGGCTGCATCTCGGCTGCATCTCTCGGCGGTCTCTCGGCTGTCTCTCGGCTGCATCTCTCGGCGGTCTCTCGGCTGTCTCTCGGCTGTCTCTCGGCTGTCTCCCGGCTGCATCTCTCGGCGGTCTCTCGGCTGTCTCTCGGCTGCATCTCTCGGCGGTCTCTCGGCGGTCTCTCGGCTGCATCTCTCGGCTGTCTCTCGGCTGTCTCTCGGCTGTCTCTCACACCACGCCGCCATACACGGCTGCAGGAGGGCGACGCCGACCAGGCGCCCGAGCTCACCCCGCCGGTGCCCGCCACTACGCTCGCCTACCCGCCCGACACGCCGGACAACCCTCGGTCGAGCCTCCCCTTCCTCGGCGACATCTCCCCCCCCCCCCCCTCTCCCCCATCCCTCCCCCCCCTCTCCCGAGCAGGTCGAGCCTCTCCTTCCTCGGCTCGCTGCTGCCAAAGTCGCTCGTGCCAACCTACATCCAGTCCCAGTGGAGCTTTGCGCAGTTCCGGATGCCAGGCGCTCCCCGCCCCGCCCCGCCCCAACAACCCCGCCCCACCCCACCCCTCCCAACCACCTCGCCCCATCCCGACCCACCCCGCCCCGCCCCAACCACCCCGCCCCGCCCCGCCCCGCCCTCTCCTCCCGCCCCTCCACTGAGCCGCACTCCCCCCCTCCCTTCTCGCGGCCCTTCCTCTTCGCGCTTGCCCTCACCGCCCCGCCCTCCCCCACGCGCGCCGCCGCGACGTCTTCCCCCTCCCCCAGTGCGGACGGTGTGCTCACGGCGGCGAGCCTCTCTAGGCTCCGAGCGCGCGCTGACCCGCACGATCTGCGCCTTTGCTCCGGAGAACACAAACTCGTTCCTCGTCGTCTCGGCCGACGGCACCTTTTACAAGTGCGGCTTCGACCCCATCCGCGGCGGCGAGTGCTACCGCGAGGACTGGCAGAGGTTTCTGATGCCAGAGGATGATGAGTGATCACGCAGGCCCTCTCCTCTCACGCCTCCCGACCTTGTCCCTACGAGCCGCGCCAGCGGCCAACCCTAGCTCGCCAGATCCAGGCGGTGCGCGTGCACTCGAGGTCATGTAGGCGTCTCTGGGAGGCTCCGTGCCGCGCTAGGCACCAGCCGGGAGCGGCCGGGAGGGCGCGAGAGCGAGAGCCAGCGAGCAGTGACATTCGGATCGCACTTCGCAGCTGGTAGGAGCGAGATGTGCGTGTCAAATGGCTCATGCCAATAAAAAATAACAAACGCGGGGACAAAAATAGCAGAGAGGCCCGCGGCCCGGGCGACACACAGCCGAGACACATACGACGATCACGACGAACCGACTCGGCTTTGTGTATTGTGACCTCTTTGCAGCGCACTTTTCCCCCCCCCGACCCCCGCCGCGCCGCGCGCCGCGCCCGCGCTTCCCCAGTGTCCCCACACACGGTAATTGCAGATTTACAGCATAGAGCGCAGTCTCACTCTCTCGACTCAGCCTACTAGCGTGCATGCTCTTGTCTTGCAGCTAGGGGAGCCTAGAGCCGCTCCTGCCCGGCGCCATGGCAAGAAGGACTTCAAGAACGCAAGATGCCAGGACACCGACCGAGTCTCAGGGCCGCTGCCGCTTCGACGACGGCTGCCCGTCGGTCTTCGGGTCGACTTTGGCCGCCAGGTGTTTCATCTGCGTCTCCAGCGCCTTGGTGCTCGTCTCGTAATCCGAGATTGAGACGGCGAGCGACGAGACCTTGCCCTCCGTCTCAGAGATGGTGTCAATGAGGCGCTGCCGCTTTAGCTGAATCTCCGCGATCTTGGCATGGTCAGAGTACGAGTCGAGCGCGAGATGAGCCTCAGCCTTGAGCTCGTCGCGCTGCTCCTTGTACGTGTGCAGGTGTGAAGTTCTTCTTCTCCTCGCGGCAGGTGGCCAGCTTCTCCTTGGCAAAGCTCAGCTCAGCCTCCGCCGACTTCATCAGCTGCTCGAGCTTGTGCGTGTCCTTCTCCTCCTTCTGCGCCGTAAAGGCAGCGGCGCGCTTCTCAAAGGCGCGGAAGGCCGGCGTCGTGGTGGATTCCACGCGCGTCAGGCACTCGTCCGTGTCCTCGTGCAGCGCCTTGCACGCCTCCTTGTACTCCTGCTTCTTCAGCCAGCACGCGTCGATCTTTGCGAGCTGCTCTTCCGGGATCTCGATCACCTTGGCACGCTCCGAGAGGGTGTCCTCCAGAGTCCGGCTCTTGCGCCTCTTCTTCTCCTCCTTTGACATGTACACCTAAATGCAGGAGAGGGTAGGGTCAGCACATGGCACCGGGAGGTCAGAGAGGGAGCGAGAGGCGAATATGCACACCACATACACTTTCTTGCCCATGCGCTGTATGTCCGCGCGCGAGATGCCTTGCTCTTCCTCCAGCCTCTCCACTGCCTTGACACGGTCGGTCGATTCGAGCTGCAGCAGCATGTTCCAGATCTTGCCGCCGAAAATGCCGTGCTGGACCTTGACGCCGAGTGCTGACTCGAACGCTGCCCGAATCGGGCCGGTGTGAGCCGAGCACTGCAGGTCGCGTTGTCGCCTCCGTTGATTGGCTTTGGCACCGGGCTGAGAGCGTCCGAGCGCAGCTCCAGTTCCTCTTCGACGTTAGCCATTTCGGACAGCGTGTCGCAAATTCGGTCCTCGGGGCAGTTCCCTGAGCGGCTGAGCGCGACGCGTGTCAACAGCTCCGGGGGGTCCAATCTTTTTGTAACCGACGATTTAAGGTGGACCGGCGTTCGCCATTTTAAACCGAGCACCCAGGAATTGCGACTCGCCGCTTTCCTCCCGCTGTGATTCTGTGTGAGCGCTTTTTAGTTCTTTTTCTGTGTTCGTGGCAGAAAAGAAAGAAAACGAGTCGGAGGAGGACAGGCTCCCCACCTGCACGAGCAGGATTTCGGAAGGACGATCAGGGACACAGGGGAACGGGAGTGGGGAGCGCCAAAGAGAGAAAGAAAGAAAGAAGAGATACAACCCAAACGAGGGACTGAGATGAGACCGCCAGTGGATGTGGGAGTCCACCGCGCACCGCGCTGCGAGCCTGTCGTGTCCCTTGTCAGGAGCAGGAGAGCCCCACCTGTCCCCCTGATCGTTCTTCCAAAATCCTGCTCGTGCAGGTGTGGAGCCTGTCCTCGTCCCAT